TACCTGCACATCTTACTGGATGTATGGAGAACTTGACATCTGGCCCAAAACTGTTGTCTACAAACCTTTCTGTGTATAGATGGAGTCAACACTGCTAAGAGTTTGTAAATAAAACTATTGAACAGCCATGACCTTAAAATGAAACCTTTCTTTTTTTGAATGGCCAAGCACTTAAAAACTGGAAATTAAATATGAATAATTGATTGGGAAAGTTAATGGCAATGCTTGAGCATTTAATTAATGGTTCTTCCCTCTCCTCCCCCACTCCATTCCCTCCATCTGTCCCATGTCTGTACAGTGAGAAGTTACCAGTGGTGGGTTCACCCTTCTGGATGGCACCAGAGGTTCTCCGAGATGAACCCTACAATGAAAAGGTACATGATATAAATGTTGTCAGATGTTTCTCTTCAGTAGCTGTATGCAAGATATAGAATGAAAACTATTGTTGTTTTCACTTGAGATTTCTGTGCTCAACAGGTCATTCAGACAAAGGGAGAGTGAAAGCTGAATAGCTAATTCAATGTGTGGGTTCTTATATAGAAATAGAATTACATTTAGGTTTGTTCACTGTTATGCTGTTTGCCTTCTGATACCACACGCAGGAATATGGTAATGGCTCATTGACCTAATGCAATGTAACCAGGTCTTACGAGAATTGTAGTGAAGTTGCTTCCCTGACTATACATTAGTGTGAGCTAGGTCTGTGTGTGAACTTGTACAATTAATTACAAAAAAAGAAAAAGCTAAAAAGCTAAATCTACATTTTTCAAGGCAAGATACCTTGATAAGATAAAAATGTTCTCCAAAGGTATTTCTATGTTTCCCTATTCGTGCCATTGGGAAATGTTTCTTTCAGAGGAGGATCAGATCACACTGGATTTTAGAAACAGTGTTTGCAATCAAGTTCTTCTTTCACAGGATTTTCTCTCCCATGTGTAACATAGTCTACTTCAGCTCTGCCAGTGCAGCTTTTCTGTCATAACACCAACATCCTGTACCTCTTTACAGCTAGTAGTCACTCTTTAATTGGTGATACTTTTTAACTTGCAGGAAATCAGTAGCTACCTCAGTAATGAATGTAATAATTACAATTTCAAAGCTTTTTGAAGAGTTTCAATTGACCTAAATTAATAATAAAGTACCCAAATCTATGGTGCCAGAATCTTCACTAAGCCTAGGGCATGGAGGACTAAAGAGGAGGCAGGTCTCATGCCTGATCAGCATGAAAGGTGGCACATAAGTCTGCTTGATGTGTAAGGGATGAGGGATGCAAGCTTCTGCTTTGTAGACTTGTATTCCTTGTTTTCCTAAATTTTATTACATGGTAAATTCAGGTGGGTGGAAATCTGAGGAACTGTGCAGCTTCAGGAATAGTCAGATAAGTGGTTACTAATTGTTGTGGAAATGGAGTATAACAGTGCTACCAGATATCTCAGGCTTTGGGAAGACACTGTTTTCTCCAGAGATACTGAACCCTGAGAAGAGGAAAATGTAATTTTTCTGAAAAACAGCATTAATGTTCTGGGTAAGCTGTGATCATGTGTATTCTAAACCCATTTTTCTAACCACAGTGATATATAGGCATGTCATGTTTTGGCTGTGTTTTAATTATTTCCATCTGTAGGACATCAAATACAACGTCACCATTCTTTATGCAAGGAAGGATTTTTGAAGTTGGTGTTTTTTTACGCTGCTGAATTAAGAGTGTTTTGGTGGGTTTTGTCTTGAAAGAGTATTAGAGTTTCATTACTATTGTGCAACAAGAATGCTGCACTGTGAGCATGATGCAGTGGCTCAGTGTTGTAAGGCTGTGGTGTCGATTCAGGTGTTTCATGATAGCCATTTGGGGTGAGGAGAAACTCGGTGGCAGATAAGAATACTGAGTATTCATAGCTGAACCATGTGTCTATTATTTTTTTTCTCTTTCAGGCAGATGTGTTCTCTTATGGTATAATTCTGTGTGAGATTATAGCAAGAATACAGGCAGATCCAGACTATCTCCCTCGCACAGAGGTAAGTGGTTATGTTTATAACACTGGTGGGAGGTGGTAAGTGTGCCATGATAACGGTTTGGCCTTTAGAACTTCTGGCACTGCTGCCAAAGATACGATGAATAGGTGTTGCATTAAAAATAGCCTGTAAAAGGCTTTTGTTCATCTATGCTGTTACTGTAGGAAGCTCCACTGAAGACACTTTCACAGACTTTGTCCAGCTGCAATCCTCATGGGAAATCTTTTCTGCCCCTAACTGGCAGAACACTGACAGTATTGCAGTGCAGACTCTTCTTTTTGTGGAGTGATAGCTCATGTAGACTTCTTGCCAGGTTCAGAGCAGGGCATTTCTGACACACTGCATCCCCTAAGCAGCCCCTCCTTGTGAAAGGGGCAGGAACTGTTTTAACAGCAGCTAAAATAAACTCACCCTTACTTTTGTGTAGGCTATGCTAAACACCATGGACCTGAGTTATAATCAACTAATCAAAGATACTTCTTTCTTCTGTTGCCTTTTGGTTGAGTCTCACCTGTAGGGCAGCTTTTGGCCCTCTGTGGGGGCTCTTCCAAATTCTTTCCCCCTCCAGTTCTGAAAATGGAAACTTGCTTAAGTCTTGAACTGCAGTAAATTAAAGATCATTTCTCTCTCTTCAGATTTTATAGGAGTGCACTTAAGGAACTGGATAACTTGTATTTCCAGTCTCCCATGCACTGAAAAGTTAACCATTTCAATTGATACATTTTCATCACAGCAAAGCCTCTGCTTTTATAGCAGGCTGTTAATTTGTACTGTGAAAGTCACCACAGTGAAACATCATAGTATAAGATACTGTTTCCAGATCCACAAGGGCAATATTTCAAGTACAATGGATTGCAGTTGAATCCAGGAAGGAAGGATGGGCTTTGAAGTCAGCCCATTCTCTTACAGGTATCTTGTATCATTCCACTGGGAATGCTGCAGTTCAGAGTGTGTGTGAAGTTTCCTCAAAGTCCTCTGCATGTGGTTGTTGAGATAGAGGTCTGGTATCTGGCCCAAAGCATCTTCTTTTTAGGAGATCTCTACATGGTTTTATCAGGAATAACTATGAACACTATGTTATGTTTTCATTTGTACAGAATTTTGGATTAGATTATGATTCCTTCCAGCACATGGTGGGAGATTGTCCTCCTGACTTCCTCCAGCTGGCCTTCAACTGCTGTAACGTGAGTATCTTACTTGAAGGGGAGAGGCCTAAACTGGAGTTCTCTTAAAGCCTTCTGGCTTTTGAAGATAGAGCTTAAAACATTTGCAGAAGAGACTTGAAGAGCCTAGCTATAAAAGCAGCACCTTCTGATAACCCAGAAAGTCCCTTGCAGATTTCATAATCCTTCCCCTTGTAGAAAGGTCTATTTTGTGTTTTCGCAGCTCTGTGTTCTGTCATGCCAAGCAAATGGATCCGGCACACGGAACAGCTTCTTGCAGGCTGTTCAGGCTGATCATAACCAGTTGGATGCTATTGACTCTGGCTAGCCCTTGGGCTGACAAAATCCAGCTGTTATTGTGTACAGACTTACTGAGCTGTGAAGAAAGGATTCTGAGTTCTCACAAACAGAAGGGACAAACAAATCGAGAGCAGGCATTAAACTTCTATAAAGTGTCTATATGCTGCTTTTTGGAAAAGGGGCTTAACATCCATATATCTAAGCCTGCGTCATAAAACCCAAACTCGGGCCCAAATGACTTAATATCTGTAAGGCCATAGGCAGTGTGCTGTATGGAGAAACTTTCCTGGCAGTTAATCAAGTAAAATCATGGTAGTGCTGGAGACCTTCATGGCTCCTCAGTGTGAAAACTCCAAGGAAGTATCTCTCTTTTGTTGGTCATCCCATAACAGAGGTTGCTAGTATCATTGTGTAGTAAACTGGTTTATATGAAGAAGGAGAACCTGAGCTTCCCCCAGATTCAGCTAAGTTGGGAATGTCCAGTTTGTACAACTTAAGTTGAGGCAACCTCTGAAAATTTTATTGCACAAAACTTTGCCCATGACTCAAGTAAGGCCGTGGTGGAACCAATACCAGCACTGTGTCCAAGTGAGTGCTTGTAAGAAAAGTCTCAAGTCTTTGTGCCCTTGATGCTTGTTTTTGACCCAAGCTCTCTCTTTATTTAGTATTGTTACAAATGCACCTGCTCAAGGGGAGCACAGTATAAAGGTGGGAATTGAGGGATGAGAGCTGCCCATGACACCAGATAGCATAATTTAATTCTAAAAATGTTAGTGGAACTTACTGTGGATAAGCTACTTCACTCCTCTGATTTCACCTTAGTACAGCATAACTTTGCTTCACCAGCACAGAGGTACATCTGACTCATGTTTATGAAGTGTTTTGGTTATGTGAGCACTAAAGGGTTTGTCTAGAGGAAGGGTTTGACTTTGGAAATCTCAGCTCCCACCTGTAGACTCCAGAAATGGTACTGTATCCAAACACATGGTGCATGATTCAAAGCAATTTTTCAGCACAGGAATTCAGAGTAAAACTGATCATGAGGGGAGGGGCTGTGATCTTATAGTCTCATTTAAGAATTTGGCATGCTCAGAGAAAAATGATTTTCTCCTACTGATTATTCTCAAATGCTGCTTCCTGTATAATAAATGTCCCTTCCCTGAATTGAAATGGAAATTACTGTCTCGTGATCAAGCCATTACTATGCTGATTTCAGTGTGGGGCATGCTGGAATTTACTTACAACTTACCTAGTAGAAGGAAAAAGGGTGTAAACAGATAAGGCTTTATGTCTTCCTAAGCATGCTGTGCTTCTGTAGTAGGTGATCTGTGTGTGATGATTTGCTCTTAGATGTGGACATTTATATAGCTTTTTGTTACTTAGTAGATCAACAAAGTGTAAATTGTTTAGCTCAGCTGATTAGCTGAACTAATGTGCAAAGCCCTGGGGTTTTCTACAGGCAGGAAATGCATTTTTGGGTACCCTAAGAAAACCAGTAAAGACTGACATGTATGAGTAGTGGGTTAAAATTTCTTTAATTTACTGTTACAAAGTAGGGGGGTTTAAACAAGTACCTGCAAGGAAGACTCCTCAGTAACTATAAATCTACTTGTGTGGATCTGTAATAAACATAATCATAAATGATCATGGAAAAAGCTTACAGCACGAGCTGGGCAGAGGACAACTGCTGCCTGGAGGAAGAACCTTCTGTTCCATTTGAGTTGAGCCTGGACTGCTCAGGGGTGGAAGAGGCAAATGTTGCTCTGAGTAACTTTTTCATTGCTGCTCTTGTCCTGGATCTTACCTAGCACAAGTTTAAATAGCCAGACAGCTCTTTTTTACTTCCTCAAGCTTCCTGTAGCTTGCAACAGCTCCCTGAGCTTCCCAGATTAGTAAGTTTGTCAGAGTACAGTCTGTGCTTCAGTGTTGCCCCTGCCCTACTCTTCCAGTGGAATAGGGAAAGCAGAAAAATGTTTACCAATGCCAGGAAATTCCAGAAGCTGCATTAGAGCAACTTTCTTGTTGCTCTTGAGATCTTCCAATGTGATTTGTTTGCTTGAGTTTTATTGCTGTACGTATGAGTTTTTAGCCCTTTACCCCAAGTTGCCAGAAGGTATTCTGGCACTCCTGATCATACCAGTTCTCTTCAGAAAGATCCATCTGCAGGACCTGCAGGGCAGTGTCAGGGAGGTCTTTGGGGTTTGTTGTGCACAAAGCTCCACTGTTCCCATTGTAGAGGTGAGACCTGTCTGGGCTTGTCCTCTCTGAAAAAGCCTTTAGAAGGCTGGAAACAGGAATCTGTTCTATTACTGGAGTGAGGTTAACTTTCAGCTGCTGAATTAGATGTTGCTACCTACAGTCTTTAAACTTGCAACCTATACACAGGGTGAATGTGCAAAATTATGAAATGCCTTCAAAATTACTAGTGAAATTAAGCTGCTTGCCCTGTAGTGCAATTGTTGAGAGATCCATTTCTGCTAGAGTGAATAATTAAATACATACTGAAAAATACAAACTGATACCTACTGATGACTAGGGGGAATATTTTACCTGGACAAAGATGGATTTTCTTCCTATTGTATTACTTTGTCCAAGTGTGTAACCAATCTTGCTTCCTCACAAGTACAGTGAGTAGTAAGGTTAATTAACAGATGGAAAGATACAGCATTTTCAGCTTTAAAATCAGCAGTGACACGTAGGTGGGTTTTAATTAAAGCCACAAGGAGATGACAGAAGAATTACGAACTCAAGGAATGACACAGCCATGTTGCTCTGTGTAATCCTTTTGAAATAACATTGGTACATAATCTGACAGATAACCAAGGTCCAGAAAGAAATCCTGAACTATGGAAGTTGTTTAAAACAAGCAAACCAATCCCTCCAAAAACCATGAATCTGACAGATTTCCCCCTTTTCAATTTAAAATACATTCTCCTCATAGAATGTTTGCAGCTTGATAATTAAATGTGAGAAGTATAATAGACATGAACTAGGACAGAATATTGCTTTTCCCCTTCTTTACTTCTTTTTTTTTGTGGTGGCACTTAAGTCTTGGATTTCCTTAGTTTCTTCAGCTTGTACCTCTGTCTGTCCACTGTGTAATTAGAATAGCATGGACAAACCCACATGAACTTACTTGATCTGTGTGCATTGGCAGATGGATCCAAAGCTGCGTCCTTCATTTGCTGATATTGTCAAAACACTGGAGGAAATGTTAAACCGCCTGAGAAATGAGGACTCGGAGAGAGAGAGAAAGTTCTTGAACCTTGACAACAGTGAAAGAAAACCAAAAGGTAAGAGTCTGTATTGGACAAACAGCAGAGGGCACAATGCTTCTTGTTTTGGAAACTGGGATTTCAGTATATATGGAAATATTTACAGCTTACGAATTGATTTTACTCAAACCCTGAAAATGATTCTGCAACAATGCCATGTACTTTGCACTGCAGAGTGTCCTTTGGGGAAAAAACAGCTAACTTGAAGTGCCTCATAATATTCTGCCCACAAGCTCATGAGAGGAAATTTTGAGTTCATTTGGGAATGGTTTTGTATGTTGCTAATAGTACATGAAAATGCATCAACTTTTTATTTATCCCTTGCCATACTTAGTGCATATACAGAATTTTTGATGTATGTTACATGTGACATTTAGAAGCCTCTTAAATTCCTTCAGGAGGAAGAGCACAGAAGATGCAAGAGTATTATAGAGTACTCTGAAAGACGGGAAAAGATGAATCCCAGGTCTGCTTGGGAATGTTGGCATTGAAAGGTTTTCTCTAAAGGTGTTTGGTGCCACCTGGTGTGGGGAGCAAACTGCAAGCAGCTCTGGTAGCCTGGGCTGTCTTCTGACTTGGGTGTCTTTTATGTTAGTAGACTTCTGGCATTGGGAACCTAGAGTACAGTAAAAATAGTTTCTCCTTTGTGTGTGTATATAAATATGCAACATATATACATCTCTATTGATCTGTAGATTGTTATAGATTGAAATAATGTATGTTAAACCACATAGAGTTAATGCATGTTGTGATTCTCTCACAACTGGAAAGCATCTAAAAGAGGTGTGAGTTAAACAGGAAAATTGGGGTTTTGTTTAGATTTTTCATTTTGTTTGTGGTTTTTTTCTTTTTCCATGTTTCTGGCATTCTCCCTTTTGGAGTACACATACAAAACAAGCACTGCTTAAAGAAATGTTACGTGCTGTTCTTTGACTTGCATAGCATTTCCTACATGGAACAGCTGCAGTTTAAACTGTGGCAGTATTTAAAGGGAAAGGTGAAAATCCATATGCACTTATTTGGGAAACGGTAATCAAAAGGAGATATCACTTCTTTAAATACATTTATTATTGCTCTACCACAGTTCTTCAGAGGCACCTTGAGAGCCAGTGACAGATGCATATTCCAAACACTCAAGGAGTTATCATCTACCATTTTCCCATCCTGTTCTAGTGATACAGCTTTTATTTGCGTGTGTGTACAAAGTGTGCAAATACACATGCACATGGACAACTTTAAAACTCCAATTCATTAGGGTCAAACTCTCATATATCTTTAGTTTTGTACTGGATAACGTACTGGGATGGAATGATTTAAACTCTGTATGGTGTCAGGAAGGGCATTTATTTTGGCCTTAGTCTTTTCCCATCAGGGTGGAGAAGTCCCTGTTTTCTTCGGCAACTCTTTTATGGTCAGTATCACCAACAGATCTTGGGCAACCTCTGCTGGGAGCCAGGATGATAAATCTAGGAAAACACAAATTGTTCTTCTCCAAGACCACCTTCTGCTGTCTCTGCTCTGGCAGTGTACTAGCAGCAAGGAAGTTTGAAGGAGCTCTAAAAGTGCACTGGAGAGAAGAGAATGGTGTCCTTGTGTTTGTGCAGGAACTTGTAAGGCAGGAACAGACATGTGCTTATGGAAGATAGTTTGGAACGTCAGAAATGCAGCTTTTTCTTTACAGTTGTCATGAAGGCTCTATGAGTGAGCAGACACACAGCTATATAGAGCTGCCTTAAGCTAAGAGTATTTCTCTTTCTCTACTCAGGATCAATTGAAAAAGGACCAGGAGTAAAACGTTTGAGTTCCTTGGATGATAAGATCCCACCCAAGTCACCCCGTCCACGCCGGAATATCTGGTTGTCACGCAGCCAGTCGGATATCTTCTCCCGCAAACCTTCCAGGAAGATAAACGTGCAGGACCCTTATTATACACCAAACAAAGGGTTAGGCCGGAAAGTTAATCCCTTCAATGCCCGGGAGGACCTCAAGGGGGGGAAGGTCAAGTTCTTTGACATGCCAAGCAAGTCTGTGATTTCCCTGGTGTTTGACTTGCACTCTCCGGAGGCAGGCAGAGGCCTGAAGACCAACCAGCCCCAGTGCCGGCAGGTGTACAGCACAGACGGGCAGGAATTCTCCCTTTTTCCTGGGAGGAGGTGCAGATCGCTTCCACTCTCTCCTGAATTACCACAGAAGGAATATAGCTTGTTTGGAGGACTGTCTTCCCCTGTTGGCAGGTGTGACCCAGCCCAGCTTGGTGCAGAGGTTCGGCAAAAACTCCTGAGCAGCAGTAAATATGGTGTGGCAGAGATTCCCCCCTTTCATGCCAAGCCTCACAGACCAGAATTTCTTCTTGCATCAGGACAGGAGGAGGATATGGACTGTTCAGATGGGCCAGTGTCCCAGGAGGAAAATGGGTTTTGCCCAGTTGAGAACACATGTGGGGATCCAGCATGTCATCAGCCATTAGTGCTGCCCCAGCCTGAGCCACTGTCTTACAAAAAGCTTGCAGTTGAGAATTCAGTGAACTCTGAGGGACATGGCTCCTCACAAGTGTTTGCAGGTTGTCTGCCTTCTGAAGAGATGGAGGTAGAGGTGGAAGATAATCTACTGAAGATTGCTCGGCTAGAGTCTACAAAGCCTCTGTTCAGTGTTAGTCCTTCCACTGAGCTGAAGAGAGAGGCATGGCCCATCAGGGAGCAGGATGGGGACGGTCCTGCCCTGTTGTCTCAGACCTCCAGCATCTCAGCAAGTGGCAACACAGAGTCAGCTTGTGACATATGAAGAGAGGGCTCAAACTGAACATGTCCTTGAGGGAACAGTTGTTCCCAGTTGCTTAAACTCTTGTTTCTCTCTAGTGTTGGGCTCCATGCTTGAAAGAGACTCAGCAGATGGTAGAAGCTGTCTGTCAAAACAGATACCTGCAGTGTCTGGAGAGACTGATTATTTTGTAAAACTATTTCAAACTGTGCTTATTCCCTTTCCTGGTATGCATTAGGAGGGGGAACTACTCCAGCCAGAATGGCCATGTGGGCCCCACAGCCCTTCCAAGAGGCAGCAGCCAGAGCAGGCACCATGTAAACAGTTTGACCTGGATTCCAGCATGGAGCATTTCAAGGCCTTAAGCTCCATGTAGAGTAGAAAGAATGAACCCTAGGTTTCCCCTCTTCCTCTGACTGACCAGCTGCTCTAAGCCACTGCAGATTTTTCATTAACATTTTGCAGCAGTGCACATGAGTGAGATCCTCTGGTTTAGAAACAGGCACAGAGGTCCTTCAGAGCTATGCTGGGCAGATAGCAATGCTCTCTGGTTCCAGAGAGCAGCTGCTGTGAATGCTGTTGCAGCATTAAACAAGCTCTTCTTTCAAAAGCATCAATACCAAAACCGCTCATGTTGGTCACAATCTGCAGGCTGAGTCACATGACAAGTACTTTGCAATTAACAAGAAGAATCTGTTCCCAGTGCTTCATTTTTCCCTTGGGATTTGGTAATGATGTTTAATACATTTGTACAGGGAAACTCTCTTCCTTGTACAGCTCATCACGTACCTCAGCCCAAATGTGGAGGAAGATTTGCCGCGGCAGAGAGAGCCATATTCCAGGCATTGTCATTGCTGGGCTTCTGAAGAAACTGCCCCTGAGAGTACCAGCTGTACTGAGCTTTTGGGGGAGGTGGGCTCTTATCTCTGAAGAGCTGCATGGACAGCGTGATCTGTTTCTGCAGAATAGTTAAATACAATGGCTGCATCACAGCTGACTATTGCCACTAAGCTGGAAGGGTCACGTTCACCTCCCTCTCTGCCACGACATCCCATGTCACTGATGTTACTGCAGCAATGATGGCTCCTCATTTAAAACCAGACTGCTGGACTGAGGACAGGGATCCCCTGCTCAGGGGAAATTGCCAGCAGTGTTGTGGCAACACAAGTGCTCTTGGAGAGGACTCACAGGAGGGCTTTGAATTGTCAAACTGAAAAAGATTAGCTTGTCCCAAATAATCTTTTTTTTTTTTTTCCCCTCTACAGAAAGAAGTTGCAGTGATTGGCTTCTCGTGTCACTGAATAGGATGATTTATTTTATCTTGTTCTTCTTTTACTTTTTTACCTCCCTCCACCAGCAGGAACATGTGAAAGAAGCAGTGACATGAGCTTTAATGCTCCTTGCTGGAACCAGCACCAGAGATTCCCATTCTGGGATGATGTTAGTGCAATATCATCCTGCCCTTTCCCACTATCATCATCCCAATGATGTGGGATTTTAATTTTATTTTGTTTAGGTTTTTTTAACCTTTATTATCATTCCTAACTGAGGTGTGCATTGCATGCCTACTGAGCAGATGATGATGCAGAGGAGACCAGAATTTCATCCAGGTAGCCTGTTACACTCTCTTCTGGCTCTCTTGTAAGGATGGATAATGTAAGCCAGTCTCTGATGGAAGCAAGACTATTCCTACTCTTCTCCCATCTCAAAGGATGGAGAAAGCCTTAGTTCTTTCTTGGCTGAGATGCTTTTGTTTCTAGAGGTGTAGGTGCCTATTCCATGAGTTATAATTATGCTTCCTCTTGTGAAGTGTGTGTTAACCTGAGCAGCAGTTATCCCTTTGCAGTGGCTGCAATGAATTAAATTAGAAACTGGTGTTGCTGAGTTACTTACTGAGTCCATGCCAGATCAGGCAGCTGTTAGCAGTTTGGAAGAGAAAATGCCTGTGCTAACTAAGATCACCCCTTTTGGCCCACACCTCTCTGCCTCTTGGAGATGCTGATCTTAGAGTAGTCTGATTGTGTCTGCAGAGTGCAGAGCAGCTTGTATGGCTGCACTGCGTGTGTGTGACTTCCTCTGAGGACAGAGTAACAGCAGAACTCAATTGTCAGTGAGTTGCCTGCCTGGTGCCTGCTTGCTTTTTTTTTTCTCTCTTTTCTCCTTTTTTTTTTTTTTTTTTTTTTTACAAAAAATTCTTTTTATCTTTGATACAACTGTAATCTTCTGGGAGGGAAACCATCAGCACCAGCTTCTGTTGTCACAAGATGCATTTCGGTGTGTGACTTCAGACAAACAAGCAATAACAAGGACTAGTTTACTTCGGCTCACCGGGCTGTGAGGAGGCTGTCAGCGCCCCACAGCAGCCTGTCGGAGCACACGCACACCCCTGGCTGTCAGCGCTGACACCGCGTCCTGAAGCCTCTTGCCCCTCTGACCCACTGCAAAGTGCAGTCAGGCCTGGGGTACCTCCGTGGCACCCATCGCAGTGACCTCATTCTTCTCTTACACCACTGTCTCTTAAAATGTTTCCCTGCCCTTAAGAACTCTGACAAAGCAGCATGGCTGGTTTTATTCTCTGAAATGTCCGCTCTAAGCACAACAGCTGACACGCGTAGGGCACATCTATCAGCTCCTCTGGCTCTTTGTACTGAGGTGGAGATGTCAGAAAGCGAAATGCCAAGGAATAGCAGCTCAGGCCTTTTCTGGATTCTTGGTCTGCATGTGAAGAAGCATGTGTATGAAACTGGAGTGAAAGGTCATTTTAAAAATAGCAAAGTGCTTGCTGAAACCCAGTGTGTTTCCAAGGGTCTGGGGCAGTTGGCACTCAGTACATCTCATCCCTTTGGCTGTGTAAAGCTGAAACTAGGTTGTACCTAGTGGCTACTCCTAGGTTTTCTGCCTACCTGAGGAGCCATTTTCTGACAGCTACCGATGAACATGAATTTGAACTTGTGGTCAGCAAACTCCTTGTTTTATAGTGATGTGACAAAGTTTTATTGTGATTGGATTTTACCGTGATTTTGACTTCATTGAGAGCACCTCTTGCTCTTTTAAAATCCTTTCGGCATATGGCTAGGTTCCCAGATGAGATCAAAGATGTTTTTAATTCACTTTAAATCTTTCTATGTTGGATTCATTGAAACGTCTGTTATAAGCTATTTTTGTTGTGGTTGCAGTTTGATAAAATGCAGCCAAGAGAATGCATGTGAATTGCTGCCCCTCAGAGCAGCACAGCCAAGGGGCTGTGGTAACTTGTTGGAGAGGCATTGATGTATTATGTGTAACAGAACATTGGTATTTTTTGCCAGTACAACTAAAGACACTTGAATAATTCCTGTTTGCACTTAATGCTATTGTTTATATTGCATGTCACTACATTTCTATGCAAAACAAATAACCTTTTTTGGGAGGAGGGGCAGGCAGATATTTGATTAAGTATAAAGATCTTTGCGAGATGATCTATTTTCGTATTTATGAAGGAGTTTTACGTCTTAATATTTTGCAGTCTGTAAATAGCTCAACTTGTAATTAAAGGCTTAGGAAGGAGTTTGTAGCCTGTGTATAATAGTAAGTTAACACTGCCAGAAAAGAGATCTTTGCGAAACAACTTTTCTAATATTGCGGATATTTATGACTGTAAAGAAAGCTCGTCTTGTTTTTATCTTGATTGACCTTCTGACTTTTTTGAACTATAGAAATGGTGTATGTTTTATTGGAACTGCAATAAGAAGTAACCAAAGATGAATCCAGTTAAATATTTTCATAATTTTTTTCTTGGTCAGGTTTTGTAAACTTTCCCAACTTGCTTTCAAAATAAAAATGAAATCAAGGCCTGAGTCTTGTGATTAAGAGGAAGACTTCAGGTTAAAAAATGCTCAAATGCTTACTTAAATTACAAATGCCATTAGTACCTGGCGTGAGATTGTATTTGCTATTACTCAGTGCTGAATTATAAACAAGGAAAACTATCATCCTTAGTCAGTGTTATTTCTCTCCTGCACCTCACTGAAGTGTTCCACTGTTAAACCCAGGAGATCAAGGACTTATTTTTCCACTCTGCATTACAGCACTCTGAAAAGTAGGTCTTGTGACCCTACCAGGTAAGATGTTTCAATAGCACCCAGCCTGCAGGGAGCTTGCCATGGTGGGTCTGCTCTAGCCTTAGGGCTATGACATCTGCCTTAAAGCCCCACCCCATTTCCCCTTGGAGTAAGTCTGAAGACCTACTATGGCTTGGTTCTGCATGCAGTTAGCCTGCACTGCAATCAGCTGGCCCACTTAGGAGAAACTTTCTCCTTCCCCTCTCTCCTGTAGGAGCAAAGCTCTCATCTGTGTGCTGTAACCAAGATAAAAGTGAAGTGCAAAAGTCAGGTGAGATGGCTCTTCCAGGTATGTGTTCTAAACCAACTGTGGTCAGTGTCTCTTCTATTTAAAAAAGATGACAACACTTATCCTTCCTGACTTCCGTAGGAAATAGTTGTGAGGGTTATAGGGAGTTACCCTACCAGCAGTGACTGAAAGCAGTAACACTTTACTAAACTTCACACAAACCTATGCTTTGCCTGAAGAGCTAGCCTGTTCTCACCTGGTGGCTGGCCTCACATCTTCCTCCAGTGCCTGTTTATGACATTCCCTATTGTGCTGGTTGTAGGAGTACACAGCTTGGAGATTTCAGTTCTGTTTTTGTAGGTAAGACTTTGACCTTTAGCACATACTCCCTTTGAAAAGGTTTGTCCCACCCTACACCACAAGCTTAAGTGGCAGCATTGGAGTAAGACTGTGGGTGCAGTAAGGATCAAGGCAAGATCTGGGAGGAAGCTGGGGCTCTGACATGCTAAGGAGTTCAAGCTGGGAACTCTGGCCTCTGTTTCCTCTTGTTCTCAGCAATTGCCATCTTCTGCTGCAAGTGAAGCCCATGCTCAAGTAGTATGTGGCCTTTCCAGAAAGGCAACCCTATGTTTTCTTACCGAAACCCACTCTGAATGCAGTGCACTAAACTGAAACTTGCACCCCTAGGTGCATTTGGATTTCTCCAGCCTCACCCCTGCCTTCAGAGCCCAGCACACCAGCAGGGAATACAGGGAGCAATTTAATTGATCAGATGTTAAAACAAACACAAAGATAAGAAACTTGTTTACTTTCAGGTGTGTTCTTGATGGAATACAGACCTTCAAAACTTGAAGGAGAAGAAAAACCCAATTCAGGGAGGAGTTCTCTAGCATTACACACTGGCCCAGGCCAACTTCATCTTCTCAGTGTGAGCTTTGGAAGACTTGGAAAACAAGCTTTTCACTATTTGCAGTGGCACTGATTTCCCACTGAGGTACAGTTTATTGTGGCAGTCAGGCAACCAGGGCCCTGTACCAGCCTCTGTGTTTTTCTCCTTCTTGAGCATCCAGACATAAGCCATGATGTAGCCAGTCATGAAAGCATCGAAGCCAGCACGGTGTGTGCCCCCTTGGGATGGAGGGACATGGGTTTGCTTTTCCTTTTCTGCAGCACAGGCTGCTTCAGTCTCAGGGATGTCTGGATGGGTGACTGAGCCCAGCTCAGTGTGAACCTCTGACTTCCTCTTGACTTCATCACTGTCAGAGGCATTTCCCTTGGCAGAAAGGCTCACAGCAGCTGCTACCTGGGCAGCAGTTCCCTCAGTGCTCCCTGGATTCTCTTCCCACTGTGTACTGGTGTCTGAGCTGGCCTCTGTTTCCATGTCCACACAGGTCTCCTCCCGTGGCCTGCCCTCTCCGTTGGGTGCAGTCTCACAGCAGCTCTGTTTCCGTGGTGGCCCCTCCTCCCCATTCTGAGCTTGCTCCAAGTGTTTCCCTGAGCTTTCCTGTTCAGACACCTTTGCAGAAGCCTCTGTGTTCTTCCGATTCTTCCATCTGTGCTTCCGCTTCTTCCGCCTCTCCCAAAGCTTGTCGTCCGCATCAATGATGAGGTCAATGTTATGAGACTGTGGACACTTCACCCCTTTTGGACACCAGCCATAGGCCTAGGGGGACAGACAGAGAAGGAGAGACAAGTCTGTAGCCACCAGCTTCCTTATTCCACTAAGGGATTGTGGGGCTGGTCTGGGAACAGCGTCCAGTTACAGCCCCCTTGACACACTGCAGTGAGTGCAGCAGGCAGCTGTCAGGATGCAGCACACAACACAGGAGGAGAGGCCAAGGAAGGTGGGTTTGCTCTACCTGGAAAAGACAAGACTAAGGGGTTGGAAATATCTAGTTGGTGTCTGCAGGTACCTGAAGCAGAAGGTATGGAGAAGATGGAGCTAAACTCCCTGAAACAAGGGCCTGGAGGAGTTCTGTAATCTCTGTTCTTCCACAGTTTCAAAATTCATCAAATGAGGCTCTGAGCAATACTGAGGTGGTGGTTTGATGAGAAACTTCCAGGCATTTCCCTAAGCTGTGCTGTTCTGTGACCAAATGTGCAACATCTGGAAGAGTTCCTTTCTCCACAAAGCACCTGAAGCCTGTTCTGGCCTGAGTGGATGGGCTCTGTGTTTGCTGCTGTGGCAGCACCAGGATTCAAGGTGCTGTGGATCACCCAGTGCTGCAGTGCCAGAAGCTGCAGACAGGTAACATTTTTGTATCTAATCAAGATATAGGGGAGGGTAGAGGTGCCATTTCTTGCTTGGAGGACAAGCCAAGCTAATGTAGAACTTGCAACCCTCCCAAGACAGCAATGGGTACTGTAACTCAAACCATCCCAGTTAGGGCCATAAACTCTCCTCCTGAATCTTCCTAACATAGCCTGTAGAACTCACTGCCTCCAAGCACGACATGCTATTGCCACCTAAAGCCTGGAAATGTTCCTTGTACTGTAAAGCAAGCAAGGGGAAGTTCCAGGTGCTTTCCTACCACTTCCTGCTCTGGCCAGGTCTGCCTCTGTCCAAGGACCCAGGAAGGAAGCAGAGGATTCAGGATACTTACCGAAAATCTCTCACAGACAGGGACCTTATCTCCCTCTCCAGTGCTGTGGCTCTCTCCTTCCAGAGAGCAGTAGCGATAGTCGATGTATCGGGACATGCTGGCAGAGTAGCTGCAGAACTCCACGGTGAGGTGCTGACTGCTGGAGCCCTTCAGCTTGCAGTTCTCTCGCTTGCTGGAACAGACAAGAGTGCACAGTTACTGCTGGTAACTCACTGCGGGGACCATGGTGCAAACACACTGCTTTCCTCTCAGTCTCAACTCCACAAGTTTCCTGCTCTGGAGCTCCAGCCCCAGCCTGACAGCTTGCTGGAAAGAAACCCAGTCCCAGGAGAACAGCTTTAGGAAGTGCTTCCATGCTGATTTAAAGGTTGTTTTTCCTTATGCTGATATACAGGCAGGGAAAAGAGTGTCTCTGGTGAAGCTATGGGACAAGGAGACACATAGTTTGATGTTAAATGCTAAGGGCACTAAGACATCTGTTAGTCTTCACAATGTTAATAGACTAAGAAAAAATACCCCAAAATGAGGTACAGCATAGCAGTCATTACCCAGGCAGGTCGAACCTGGGCCACAAGGATAGGTTTTTCAGCTCATGAGAAAAGAATCTGATCCCTGTTTTGTCCCAAGAGATGGTTTAAAGGCCTGAAACCTTTGGAAGGCTTCACCTAACTAGAACTGTGGGTTAAAACATTTAAGAGATCAGTTTAAAAAGTATTTTTATCTTGTCAAAACAAAGCACTCTCAAACTTTGAGAACAGCCATCTTGAATGTTTTCAGTCCTGTGTAAGTGGCATTTCCTGACATACAACAGTCACTAAAAATACCATTTCTCCTCTACACAGAGCACGACTTCAGCTTTCTGGAGACTCCAGGGGCTGTATCACTGCCAGGGGCTTGTTTAGATTGTGTGAGGCCTGCAGAATGCAGGGACAGACTGCAAAGCAGGCAGATGTGCGTCCTGAACAAGAGCATAATGCTCACTTGCAAGGAAGTGGTGGGACCCAGAGTGGGCTGCAGGTGAGTGCCACGTGCAGGACATGACAGAGCAGGAGCACTCACCCACCCTATAACTGCAGCAGCCCTCACAGAGCAGAGCCATAAGGAGCAGACCCTGCAGGACAGCCCTAGTTTTGTCTGGCCTCTAGCTGAGTTTTAATGGTCTCTTTGCATGTATTCCTGCCCTGACCCTGTGGCCACTGCTGGGCCAGAGCTCGGTTTTCAGTCAGATCAGGTCTCTGTGGTCAGCCTTCTGCTGGTACCAGTTTTGAAAACCTCTTTCAGCTGCTGCTCCCTCAACAGATAAGGCATATTAAAAAGCACACCCTTATGCCCTCAGCACCCATTCCAGAAACAGAAAAAGCACAGGGCAGGGTCACCTGAAAAGCACATTTCTGCACTCACTTGGACAATGACAGGACTCAGTCCCCTACCTAAAAAATAAACACACATTGACTTCCCCTTTGCCTTTACTCCTGTAAGTTTTGAGGGCCAGAGTGCTGCTCACCACTTCTTGTAGGCATACTCCAGGTAGGATGCCACAAAGCGAGTCTCAAACTCCGAAGCATATTTGGCGTCGTATATTCCTACTGGGAACATCTCGGAGAGGTCTGCAGTGAAGGTGCCAAGGCTGTCTGGGAGGTGAGCATAGAAGCACTGGTACAGGAACACCAGGTCAATCAGACCATTGTGGAGAACAAGAGGCTTCTTTGCCCGTATGAGCTCCAGGAAGAAAGTGCGAACACTCATGTTCTGGTTCTCGTTGCCCTGAATGAGGAAGGATCAGTCAAAGAGCCTCAGTCCCTGCCCTGCTGTCACCCAGGCAGCCCTTAGAACACTTCAGAACTCTGCCCACAGCTATGGCTGCTCAAGTGACTGCCTGGAGGCAAAGCAGAATGGAGGTGGAAGGAATAATGCTGCACTCAAGACCCCAGTGTGAGGCAGGGGCAGCCACCAAACCCCCAGCAGCCCGAAGCAGAGGAGGCTGAGGTGGCTGAAAGGGAGCAGGTCTGTACCTTGTCGTTGCCCTTGTGGTAAGGGATGCCCTGGGAGTATTGCTTGTTGAAGTCAAACCCATGCTGCACCAGGAACTGCACCGACTGGGGTTCAACCACATAATCTTCCATACAGAGGAGTGTCAGGTTGTAGATCTGGCACAGGTAAGTGTTCTCGGGCTGCAGAGGGAGAGTGTGCAGGTGACACAGGGGCTCCTGTCACAGGGAGCTGCCAACACGGCCAGGCACTGGAGTGCGGGCGGGCTGAGTCCCAGCTTGAAACAGGCGACGCCGAGGGACAGGACGGAGCGAGTCCTGGCGGCGCTGCAGACAGCCTTGTACCGCTCCTCGATGCACCTGGCGGGGAGAGACCGGGCGCTCGAGGCTGCCGAGCCCGCGGGGAAGGGAGCCAGGTACCCGGTACCACGAGGACGCGACCC